TAGCAATTAGATAGCAGTGGTAATAAAAAGTCATTAAAAAAAAAAGTTCAGGACAAAGTGGATTCTTAGCTGAATTCTACCAAATCTTTAAGGAAGAACTAATGCCAATACTCCTCAAATTATTCCATGAAATAGAAAGGGATGAAACACTTCCAAATTCATTCTATGAAGTCAGTATCGTATTTATACCCAAATCAAATAAGGACACATCAAAGAAAGAAATAATCCAAACTCAGAAAGTCAGGTCATGTTTTTTTTCGTAGGTGTAAGCTAGAGAGGAAAAAGGGAAAAAAAATGTTGGAGGGGTGGTCTCATTAAAATCAAAGGGAAGTAAGTAGAGTAGAGAAAAGGGAGCAGGAAAAGGGAAGGAGGGAGGGAAAGGGAAATACTGTATTGCTGTATTGTGTACATGTATGAATATGCAACAATGAATCCCACTGTTAAGTACAACTATAATGCATCAATAAAAGTATGGAAAAGACACCAAAATATCATTATACATCACAACAAGAAAAAATGTTGTGTATTAAATTATAAACAATAACTTCCCCCACACCTCAAGAAAAATCAGACCAATGAAATTTTTTAAAAATCCCATATGGGCATCCCATATTATTTATTTGGGTAGTAAGAAAAGATGGTCTTCTCAACAAATATACTAAGACATTTGGGATATTCATACTGAACCCCCCCCAAAAAAAAGAAAGAAAGAAATTCAACACATACCTCATACCATCATAAAAAGCAATTTCGGGCATAAGTTATATTGAAATATGAAGGCAAAACAATAAGCCTCTAAGAAGACAATTATAGGAGAATCCAATTATCAAAGAATCCAATTATCAAAGAATCCAATTATAACCTATAATCCAATGATAACTTTTTAAATAGAACACAAGTAATACTAATCACAGAGGAAAGACACATTAAAAGTAATAACTTCTGTTCATCAAAAGACAACATTCAGAGAGTGAAAATAATAGTTATGGAATATAAGATATTTGTAATATACATAACAGACCACTTATTTGTATCCAAATTACATAACAAAATATCACAAATCAGTAGGGGGAAAACCAATATAAAAAAGGAATGGTCACATCATAGAATATTCAAAGGGCAAATAAATATTAAGATACAATGACATGGCCCCCAGAACATGTAAAATTATAAATATTGAGAATACTAAGTATTGAAGAGGAGGTGGAGAAACCATTTCACTGATGGAAATACAGTTTCTTGGGAACATTGTTTGGTATTAACTCCTAGAGCACCTCAAGACCTAGAAACTACACTCTTAGGTACCTAGCCATAGAAATGTGAACACATGGGCACAAAAAGAGATATTTTCAAGAATTCTCACTATAGAATTATATTTTTATAAGAACCCCAAACTTGAAACCACCTGAAAATCTGCCAATAATAGAATGAATAAAAAAATTAGATTTTATTCATATCAGGAAACACCATAAAGAAAAAAATGAACATGAAAATCTATAGCCACAAATAATAACATGAATAAAGCTTGTGAACCTAATATTTAAGAAAGAGACAAAAAGAACACATGCTGTTTAATTCCATCCATATAATTTTTTAAATATAAGACTATGGTGTTTGGAATTAATACATAAGTGTTAAACTGCAAAGAAAAGCAAGTGATTTCACCTAAAGTCAGTTTTTTTCTTTAGAGAAGGAGATAATAATCAAAAGGGATCATAAGGGCACTTTTCTGGGGTTTTGGCAACATCTATTTCTTTTTTTTTTAATTTGTTATATTTAGATGTACAGGATAGTCGAGTGTATTTTGGCATACATATGTGAAGTATAACTTATTCTAATTAGGATCCCATTCTTGCAGTTGTACATGATGTGGCATTTCACTGTCATGTATTCATCTAGGAACACAGGAAAGTTATGTCCCATTCATTCCACTCTCTTTCCTATTCCTGTCCCCTTTTGCTTCCTTCATCCCCCTTTGTCTAATCCAATGAACTTCTATTCTTCCCTCTCCCTCCCCCTTATTGTGTACATATTGTACAGAACATTTGGCCTTTGTTTTTTTTGGGGGGGGGGGGATTGGCTTATTTCACTTAGCCTGATAGTCTCCAGATCCATCCATTTACCAGCAAATGCCATAAAGTCATTCTTTCTCTTTATGGCTGAGTAATATTCTATTGGGTATATATATACCACATTTCTTTATCCATTCATCTGTTGAAGGGCACCTAGGTTGATCTCATAGCTTAGCTATTGTGATTGAACTGCTATAAATGTTGACATTTCTCTGTCACTGTAGAATGCTTATTTTAAGTCCTTTGGGTATATACTGAGGAGTGGGATAGCTGGATCAAATGGTGGTTCTATTCCAAGTTTTCTGAGGAATCTCTATACTGCTTTCCAGAGTGATTGTACCAATTTGCAGTCCCACCATCAATATATGAGTGTACCTTTTCCCCCACATGCTCACTAACATTTATTGTTACTTGTATTCTTAATAATTGCCATTCTGACTGGAGTGAGATGGAATCTCAGCACAATTTTAATTTGCATTTCTCTAATTGCTAGAGATATTGAACATTTTTTCATATTTTTGTTGACTTCGTATTTCTTCTTCTGTGAAGTAGGTGTTCAGTTCCTTTGCCCGTTTATCGATTGGGTTATTTGTTTCTCTGGTGTTAAGGTTTTTGAGTTCTTCATATAATCTGGAGACTATTGTTCTATCTGAGGTGCAGGTGGGACAGATTTCCTCCCATTCTGTAGGCTCTCTCTTCACATTTTTTTATTGTTTTCTTTGCTGTGAAGAAGTTTTTTACTTTGATACCATCCCATTTATTGATTCTTGATTTTACTTCTTGCACTTCAGGAGTCTTGTTGAAGAAGTTGGATCCTAAGCCAACACAATGGCAACATCCATTTATTGATTTTACATAGACATTTGCTTTGTGATAAATCTTGAGCTGAATGTTTTTGTTTTGTGCAGTCTTTGGAAAGTGAGTATAGTTCACAATAAAAAATATTTTTCTCTCTTTCTGTCACACACACACACACACACACACACATGACTTAATACATATGTTAAGCACCTAATCTCATGTCTGCCACATAATAGATGTTTAAAGAACATGAGATCGCTTCTTGCCTCACATTCCATCTTTCTGCAGAGAGGAAAGAAAAGGAGAAAAATTAGAATTTTCATAAATATCTCACTTCCCAAGTAGAGGTATGAGCTTTCTTGCTGGCTTGCAACAATCTCACTGTCATGGCACTGCAATCCAAGGTAGAGTTTGAGACGAGAAGGAGAGATGTGGGCATGATGGTCTGAATTTGATTACCTCCTTGCATGAAGAAATCCCCACTAATAACTGAATTGCTAGAGCCCTATGCCCATTAACAGGAAATGTATTTGTTTATATTTTATTTATGACTGATGTAGAATCATGTATAACCAGAAGAATGAGAAATTATACTCCATTATAGAGGATGTATCAAAGTACATTCTACTGTCATATATAACTAATTAAAACAAACTTAAAAATTATTTTAAAAAGCCCAAAGCCTTAAATGATTACCTTTGCTGCAGATTTCAGTTAATCCCATAATTGCTTGGTGCTTATTTATAGAGTCAGAGAAGCAAGAGGTGGGCAGCAGAGGCATTATCCTCAATGCCTTTGCACTGTGGGGAGGAAGGGGCTGGCTGGGGTAGGGGTTGGAGCCGGCTGTGGGCTGTAGGGAGCTGCCCTACTCTTGCTCCAGCAGGCACATTCCAGTCTTCACCCCTGGGCTGGGTGTCAGTTTGTCACCATTCACTCTCAAGCGTCAGCTCCTCTTCCCCAGCTGATTGACACATTTGGAACTGGGGAAAAGGCTAATGATACTTGGGGAAAATACTTCAACTCTATCAGATGAGAAATTAAAGGCATCTATAAATCAAAGATCACCTTAAAATGGTCTCTGTCAGCACACCACTGCCCCCAGCATGCACAACCCATTCACCGAACAAAACAAAACAATCTTGGAAAGAGATGAAAAAAAATGAGATTCCGGGCCTGCAAATGAGTAACAAGTCCAAATAGTTGAAAACTGAAATCTCACAGGACCTCAGGGGCTTAACTTTCAGCTGATGTTGAAATTCCTCCTGTGACCTCAAAGGAAATTCTGCCTGTAGCAGAGATTTGATCTGCAAAAGGTTTCAAAGTAGGATTCCTTAAGGACTGAGATACTTGGAGAAAATACTTTTTTTCCAAAAAAAAAAAGGACAGGGGAAGGCAGCTGAACAGGGACATCTGGGCCCCACTTGCTTGGGCCCAGGTGATTAGGCAGCATCCTGTTGGTTTGGTAAGTGGAAATCTCCAAAAGCTAGGTTGTTAATTAGTTAACTCAGCACATGGATCTTGAGTATCCATAGAGTACTAGGGCTAGGTTAAAGGCAGGAGTTAGACTGGAAAACCTGAGAGACCATGCTTCTTATCCCAGGGAGCCTAAGCACAGAGGGACTGGACACAAAGCAGGCTCCAACTGGGCCAGAGACTGTGCAGGCCAGGATAGCCTTCAACCCTCCCTTTCTACAGCAGAAGTCTGGCAGGAGGGTCAAGAAGTGGAGAAGGAGGGGAGGAGGCTTTCATGGAAGCCCTATGTCCACAAGGACCCCATATATATATTAGTTGAGATGGGCCAGGGAAAAGGGGAACCCAGAAGTATGGCTGGGAGTATTGGTCATCAACAGAAATAAATAAACTGTCAAGAACTTAGAAAATTAGCTCAATACCACAACAAAGCCTTGAAAATAGTGAACCATAATAATACCACAGACTCTTATCTGACTACTTCTAGGGAGTCCAGAGCTAGAAGGAAGAGAAAATCAAATACTGTAGAAAGACTGACTGCCCTGAGAATAACCAACAAAGGCACACAGTGCTCGTCTGCTGAGAAGGGGGAGCTAAAGGTATGAGGTCCCCATCCATCTGGGGCAGAGATGAGATCCACACAGGGATGAGACTCACCTGCTGGTCTGATCTCAGTATGATTTCCAGGATGGATACAGCAGAGCCGTCTAAGAGGGGAACACTTTGTGGTCTTGTGCAGCCCTCTTCATGATCCTTAGCAAGCTTCTTTCCCCCACCATTTCCTCATTTTCAAAGCAGCAGAGAGATTGTAGCAATTCTGCGTCTATTACCTTCGTCATGCTCACTGCCCAAATTAAATAGTGGAATATCAGCATGTCCTCTGGGATTCTCCTCTAGGACACTATCTCAATACTCATAAGTGTTGTTTAGACAAAACAGAGCAGGGAGAATAAGACTTGAACATTTGTGGGAGGGGAATGTAGCCATGGGGTGGGGGCAGGGCCTGCCCTGCATAGGTTCTCACAGATGGCCCAAGGCCACTCAGATAAGACCCCAGTCAGCCTGGAATGCTGAGCAAAACAGAGATTTCTAAGTCCTTGCTGGACTGCAATGTACAGGGGTGCCCTGGTCATGGACAGCCCCACAGTGGAATTTTTCTCATCAAATGCTAAGACTTTTCTTCACCACTGCTATGTAGGATTAATAAGGACAGAGACTTGTTCATTAATCCTCTTTATTCCTCCCTGGGTATCTAGAACAAATGATGGGTCTTCACTTAATTCTTGTTCATAGAACAAATTTGTCAGCCACCAAATGTGTATTGGATGCCTATTGTATGATAGACACAATCACTCAATGCACAGTGTGGTTTTTAAGGTCCAAGGAACTTTCCAGGTAGATAATATTACAAAATTATTATCAACTGCTTTTACAAAATGGTCCATTAGATCAATATTTCTCCATGAATGGCTACAGCCCTGAAGTGAGGAGGCATGGAGAACCCCTCACTGCCTTCTCATGGGTCAGCTGCAGCCCAGCGTGACCTGTGACCTGCTGTGGAGCTGGGCAGTCCAGAAGAAAATTATTGTTACAAGATGTAAGGGCCAGCAGGGCCCTGAAGTCACTCAAAAGATGGGTCTTACGGGTTCCACTAGTTTGTTGGGAGTTGAACTGCTTTCTGAGATTCTGGTAATGGGAATGAGGAATGCACAGTGGGAGAGACAGGATGTTAGGGGAATAGGTAGAGTCAAGCAAGGGAGCACTTCAGGGTGACTCTGAAACTGGGCTAAGTGTCTTCCCGGATGTTTGCAAAGGTGAGAGCAACACTTGCAAACTGTGTCCCCCTGCTGAGATAAACAGACGGAGAACCGGAGTGCTGGTATCTTATCACGTTTATTCTTGGGAAGCAAGCCTAGGACTGCTTCAAGGTGGCCAGTGGGATTCTTGCCTCACAGCTTGAGCACAGATCTGTAGATACCTGAGCAGACCCAAGCAGGTGTGACACAGGCAGAACTGCCTTCTGCAAATGCTTTCCAGGAAACTGGTTACGGGAGGATAGGTAAGTGTCCTCTGAATTCTTTATCAACATCCTGTAAGCTGAGGCCAGGCCAGGCTCTTGTTGTGCTGGATTTACTGGAAGGCCCCTGTCCTGCCTGCAGGGACATGCAGGGCAGTTTTGCAAGATAGTTCCCCTTTGGACTCTGGCTCCTTTCTTTATCCATATCCTTGGACAACATGGCCATGCAGCTGAGGGCTATGAAGCATTGTCTACCCAGCAAACCTTTTCTACCCACACTGCCAACCTCCTGCCAGATCTCTGTGTGAATTCAGACGTGCTCTGACCCAGAATGAATTATGGCCTTGTCATGAAGTTGAATCTCTATGCTTCAAATACAAGGAAATGAAGGTCTTGTGGTACAGTGTTCACAGCTCCCTGAATCCAAATCAGCTTTGGAGAGAGCTAGAGCCAAGAGCCCAGTGGGGCAGAGTGTGAAGAAACTCTGACCCGAGCCTCCATGAGATGGTATTCCCAGGCCTTCCTCTTCACTAATGCTCAGGGTGACCATCTCATCTTCACCTACAATGCCCTGCAGCAAAGGGGGCCATACTTCTCCCCAGCTTTCTCTGGGGCTATCTAGCTTGGAAATGGCAATCAAGCAAGCAATAATACATAGACTCTGTGGAATTCCAGAGCTCAGTCTCAGAAATGGAAGAGATTGGAGACTCTCCATCATTCCTGTTCTTTGATGTAACGTAGCTCTGTAACACCAAGGTCAAAGGATCAGCTTCTTTTTTTTCTTTTTCCTACTGAAAGAATTATGTTTCTTTTCTTTGGGCTACACATTCTCCATTGCATCAGTCATTCTTTATACGATATGACATTACACACAGGTATGTGACCATCCACAGTCCTGGGCGTACAAAGAGGAGTAAGACAGGATAATCAGGTAGGGCAACGAGTACAATGTCCTGAGTGCTCTATGGAGCCACGTGCCAATCACTGTGAGAAGTGCTGAGCAAGATGCAGTGTAAAGCAGCAGGGAACATTCTTGGGGTGCCTGACATCTAAACTGGGTGCTTGAAAGGATGAATAGGGTTTACCGAATGCACAAACAGGAAGGCAAAATGTTCCAGGCAGAGGAACTAGCACTGATTCACTCATTCCTTCATCCCTTCCACTAATGTTTACTCAGTACCTGTTTTGTGGCAAAATGTGTCCTGAGGAAATAGAGTAAAAAAAGAAACGTCATCCCTGCCCTCATGTCGCTGTCCTCAGATAGCTTCCAGTTTTGTTTGACATACAGGTAAGAAAAAGGCAACCATGAAAGGCCAGGCCAGAAACACATGGGGGGAAATTGGGAACTCTGAGAGCTCAAAATCCACACTGTGTCCTGGAGTGGGACTGAGTATGGTGAGCTGAGGGAACAGGGTAGCCAGAGTTCTTTGGGAAAGTAGAGAGAAAGGAGGCTGGGGTTAGAACATGGAGAAACTTGGGTTTTATTTCTTATGCAGTGGGGGGAAAGCATTGAAGACTAAACAACTGAGCAAGGTGATCCCATTCATGTTCAAGAAAAAGCACTCTGGGAGCCATGTAGAGAACTGGCAGAAGCAAGAGGTAGAGCTGGGAGGGCTGACAGGTTGCAGTAGTTTTCATGAGACATGGTTTTTTTCCTTCACATGCACCTCAGTAGGTCAATTTCCTCTTTAAGCATGACGCCAGAATGGAATGAAATATTGTATGTATGGACTGATCAGCAGAGTCCTGAAAGATAAGTGATTAATGTGTGTATTCTGATTGCTGCCTACATGGCTGATTTTTGGTAACATTACTCTACTACTCCGTATGGAATTTGTCAACATAAATTCCTGGGACACTTTCTCCTTTACCACGGCAAAACACCAGTTCCCTCACCTGATAGTTAGATAGTTCTTAGTACCAAATGCAGGAATTCCCATTCATTCTTGCTAAATGTCATTTCGTTGGCTCTATTCATTCATCTAATCCAGCAGAATTGTTTGGGATCTAGTGTGTTCTATCAATGTATTTGTATCTTACTTAGCTGTTGCTTTGTATCATCCGAAAACTGGATGAGAACATCATTGGAATGATGTTCTTACATGAATCTTTGACAACATCTTTGAAGAAGCCAAGGGGAGAGAGGGTAAAATAGGCTCTCTATCAATTCTCTGAAAATTTTTCATAGGCCAATATTTTGCTATTGTGTTTGAGGATACCAGAACAATCTTTTCTCAAATACCATATTGAAATCTGGATTAAATGTGGCATTGTCTACAGACATTTTCTAAATAAAAACATTTGCTTTATCTAGAAAAACTTGTTCTTAGTGAACCCATGTTGAATCCTAGCCATCATCACCTTCTTCTTCAGGGATTTATTCATTGTCATTTAAACCAACAATTTCAATGGTAATTTCTTAGTTCTGGTCTTACTTGATCATCCCTCCTTCTCCTTGAACTCTGTTTTTACTGAGTCTCAGAACACCATGATCCCATTGTCCTCCATCTCACTGGATATTCCTTTTTGGTCTCCAGATCCTAGTTCCTCTTCCTCTTCTATTTCAACCTAAATGTGCTTGAGCTCAGTCCTTGGAGTTCTTCTTATTTATAGTTACTTTAGGCCATTGGGTAATTTCAACATTCAATGTACCTATCTTAGTCCATTTTCTTTTTCTACAAAATAATACATGGGACTAGATAGTTTACAAATAACAGAGATTTATTTGGCTCACAGTCTGAAGACTGAGAAATTCAAGAGCTTGGCATTAGCATCTGGCAAGGGCCTTTGTGCTGAGTCATTCCATGGTGGAAGGCAGAAGGGAAAGACAGTGAGAGCAAGGGAGGTCTGAACTTACTTTAACAACAAGTCCACTCTTAAAATAAAATAACAACACTAACCCACTCATGTGGGCAAAGCCCTTGTGAACGAAGCATCTCTTTTTAGACTTCACCCCCTACAACAGGGATTGAGGGATTGTTTCCAATAAATAAACTTTGGGAACACATTCAAAATGTAGCAGTATCTTTGGTCTCTTCTCCAAACTGCAGACTCACAAGTTTGATTACCTATCAAATATATTTTCCTGGATGTCAAATAGGCATCTAAAATATACAAAAAATACATCTAAATACACGAAAAAAACAAGCTCCTCAATTTCTCCCATCACCTAAACTGGTAGTTGTGCTCCAGTATCTTCCTATTTTAGTTAATGGCATTCCATCATTCTAGCAGGTCAGGACAAAATTTTTGAAATTAACCTTGACTCCTCTCATTTCTCACATCCTCGTTCAATCCACTAGTAAAATACCAACGTTTTTATCCAGAAATTGACTACATCATAAACAGTGTCTTCATACCTCCATTGCTACCAACCTGGCTCAAGCCATTATTCCCACACAATAGCTGCCTTCCAGGCCTCCCTGCTTCCACTGTAGCCTCCCTTTAGTTTTACAACATAGAGGAAACCTGTTAAAATGGATATCTGAGCATGCCACGCCTCTGGTCAATGACTGCCATCTCCCTCTAGGTAATATTCCTGGGCCTTCCAAGAACCTCCAAAGCCCATCTCTTCCCCAGACACACTAGCCTCCATTCTGTGCAGGAACACATCCAGTACATTTCCTTCTTGGGCTCTTTACAGGTCATTCTCAAGAGCCACATTATCTTTAGATTTTGATAAAAGACTTTATCCAACTCTCCTCTTTAAAATCTAAATCCTTTTCATCTAACATTGTGTTTCCTCCTGCTCTACTTTTATTTTTTTCTATATAACTTCCAGTGATCAATTTTTAAATATTTAATTATTTTTGGAAATTATATGTATCCCCCTATGTATCACACTAAAGAAGGCATGGATTTCTGGTGTTTTGCTCAGGATTCTATTCCCAGGGCCCAATATTGAGCT